CTTTAAAGATCAATTACAAGATGTATTAATATAGATATCTGGATAGAAGAAAAACTAAGCCAGACATTGTTATCACAGGAGCATAATGTCTGTCTAAAAATTAACCATTATTACACACCAGAAAGTCATTACAGGAGCAAGAAATTCATTAAGCCTCCCCCACCAAAAAAAGTTGCAAAATCTATTGGAAACCCCTAGTTTATATGTATATACACACACACATACAAAACGAGGGCTTGCTAGGTTGGTGTCTCACTGAAGTATTTGTTTTTTAAGCTGGTATGTGCACATGTTTTTGCTGAGGAGCAAGAGTTCCTCATGATTTTAACTAGCCGTAACTCAACAATGGAAAAGACCTATCATTGCTCGAGCAGCACCAGCCTGACACATGGTGGAAACAGCAAGAAGAGCCTTTCTAGGTAGGAACAAAAAGTGCCACACAAGTAAGCAGTGTATGTTCTCTTGCACACAGAACACATTTCATGCAGAAGGACTGCTTGTCCTTACAGCCATCACCCTCCAAGGCCACTCTCTCCTAAGCTCCAGCAGCTTTGTGTGACTTTGCCCCCAGCTTTTGCATTTCCTTTTAATGGTCTGGAAGGCAAATAGCACTGCAGCGCAACCTTTCAAAACAGATTAGGACAGCTAGGATGGTATTGTTATAGGGACACACATGATAAACTGATTTTTTTACTTATGGATGGGGTCTGGAAACGTTTTCCTTCTTTTTTTGCCAGCTCCCACCTAGAGTAATAGGTGCTAGCACTGGGGGTGGCAGCAGCAGGTCCTAGATGCTGAAACACTTTGTGTACCAAGTTACAACTTGGTAACTCATGGCAAGACAAGCCAAAGAGGGCTGGAACATATACTAACCAGAGGGTCCACATATTCCAGATCCTTCCCATTACCTCTTCAAAGAGCTTTTCAACAGAAATGATGCTTACGAAATTATTTGAAAGTTTGGGCCTGTAGGTAGCCAAATATTTCAGGTTTAACGTTTTACATCTCCCAAGAGAGAAACGTTATCATGGCATGGACTTACTTTCCTTAGTGAATCTAATAAAATCTAATTAATAAGAAAGCAAAACGCTACCTTCTTAGAAGGAAGACTGTAGAAACAAGGGAAACGTTTTATCTGGTGAGAAGGTGCATTTGTTATGTAGACTTACCTACAGCTTGTTTTGAAAAAGAAAACTATTTTCTCTCCCTTGTTGCCAGTAGTATTTTATCCCCATAGCCCCAGAAGGAATCCTGTTGGAAGAGTGACATCCAGTGGTTGCTGTCCATTTTGTTTTTATAGAGCAGTCTCACACCTTGTGCTCCCGCAGCCTGGGCTTTTTCAGCCCTTCTCTGAACTTATGAAAAAAGGCACGTGGTTGAAGATAACGAACCAACCATGTTTCTGACATGTGAAAATTATCACATACATACAGGCAGGCACATACTTAGAGAGTATGCAGAATTGGGACATAAAGATGACCTTTTAAAAGATATGCTATCAAGCCAGAGAAGTATATGTAAGACGTGCAAGAAAACCAGTCTGAAAGAGAGCATTATTTGCCTGTGACTTGGACTCTCTGAAATACATAATCCACATGAGCATTTATAGTATCAGAGAGCACAGAAGGCTTTATCTATGCATAGTGGATGCCTTTACTCCCCACCTTTCATTTCATTCATGCACTGATGCAAAATCCTTGTGATTCTGAAGAAGGGAAGTAATGGCACGTGAAGACCATGTATCTCAATAGACTCCCATGACTGGTGAATGACTTCCCCATATTAATTGTTAAATCACTTGCTCGTTCAAACCATACCAAACTGGAAATGGCAGCATTCACAGAATATGTTAGGCTGCATGTGATGTCTGGAGATCATCTGGTCAAAATCCCCTGCCTAAGCAGCCCCCTCAGTCAGCCTAGAGCCTGGGGAAATGACTTTGTGTGTGTGCTCATTTTGTTTTTTCAGGGGCCTGGTCTGTGGGACACTGACATACACTGGTACCAAACGTGCTGATGGGAGCAGAGCTTGGACACCTCAAATAAAAAGTTCCATGGGTCTCCAAGTTTAACAGTAATTTTCTGCCTCTTACAGAAGTTAATTTATGAGTTCAGCTCCCTCTGTTTACTGCTGTGACGCTGAAAGATGTAAATAGGCCATTCTTCCACAATGCTATTTTATCAAGGTAGTATAAGCAGGATGATAGTCCTTAGAACGGATAAGATCCTTAGAGAAGGCACTGAGCAAAATGTGACCTAAGCAGATGACACCTACACCACATTCACAGCTGGAATATGAACTTAGGGTCCACTTGAAGTAAAAACAATTTAACTGGCCAAATAAAAATAACATTTAAATCAAATCTGGACTAAACAGCACTCTTAAAATAATCCTGTCTGTGCAATACATCACCTTATGAAGCAGTCAAGAAAGACCTGAAATAGCGCTGGGCATGTTGTGTCTTGGAGCAGAGTCTAGTGCATGACTGAGAACAAAACATGAACCCACGTTCTAGAAAGAGTTTGAGAATAGTCTTTAATGTCCTCAGCATGAATGTTATGTCTGATGGCCCCTTGGAGACTGAGATAGGGATCACATAGCCCAGGAATCTACATTTATGACTGTCACAGTTTCTCAGATAAAGATAGTTAAAGATCGTAAGTTATAACACTAGTGATGGCATCCATTCATGGAAAAAGGTTAAAAACCTAGTGCTGCATACATTTGCCCAAGTTGTGTCTGAGTAACAGAATCAACAGAGAAGTAGGAAATCAGTGGCAAGAGACAACTAGAACTACAGGGAAAAAAAAATTCCTGTTGGGAAAGACAAGTTATCAGAGCATTCTGACAGAGATCATGATGCAAAAAGAGGCTCCAAATGTCAGCAATGAAAGCCATTTTAACTTTCCAACTCCAATTAGTTTGTAAGGCAGAGCAAAAATAAGCTGAACAACCATATAAATAAGTATGGATGTCACTTGAATGGCTGTGGTATGAAGTAAAGATGAATACTCTGGCAGTTAATTGCATCTGAAGACTGAAGACCACAGACATGCCAATAACAAATAATATACCCAACCTACTAGTTTTCAACAGAGTAGTTTGCATTGAAATACGCTGTAGAAAAAAAAAAAAAAAAAAGACACAAACAAAACAAAATACCTATCAGGATAGCTCTGCAATTAGTATTTAGAAATGCAAGTTTGAGTTCAAAGGATCCTTTTGTAGTGCTCAAGACAAAACACTGTGGTGCTGTACTAAGCGGTTCACTGTCCCACAAAAAGATAAAATATCAATATTCTTATAGCTCAAACTGGACAAAACATAAAATAGCAAGTCCAGCAATGCATGTTTCTTACTAGTATCTGTTTCAGCTGTCAACTCAGATATCTCTATCAACTTTTGGGGATTAAAAAAAAGGTTTAGGTAGGGCTTTGTGTGGTAATAAAGTCTTTAGATTCCTCACTAGAAGAAAACTCAGGTTTGGGTAAGTCTAATGAGCTTCCACCCTCATCTCAGTGGTTGAAAGCAAAGAGAGTTTCCTACAACTCTCTGCTTATTAACGTCTATTGAAATTTAATTGTAGGCAACATGCTGCATTTGCCCAAAACATTGACATAGGTATTTGTTAATATTTCCTCCCTATGAGAGTTTTATGAATCACTTCTGAAACATTTTCTTATTTCTAAAGTATTAGTCCACTTTCTTGAGAAACCGACAGAAAATAAGCACTAAGTAAATTACACACCTTAAAAACAAATCAAATTCAGGGAAGAATGACAGTCAAAGAGCTTTCATATGAATTGCAGCTTTCCTCTCCTGCTTGTTGTGGAACTTAGATGATAGAATAGCCTAAATCATGAGAGAAAACTCTGTTTAAAACTTTTACATGCTATTATCTGCTAGGACAACTGTTCACATTTTAAGAATTAACTTTTTTTAAAATCAAGTCCATGATGTTAAACAAAATGAAGTGGAGCAGCTCAAATTACTGTGGCTGAGGCTTCTACTTCTGGATGCTGTCTGCACACCATAGTAAAACCAGCATAGTGATTTTCAAATATTTTGGTCTCATTGTTTTCAATCTGCAGGCCTCAGTTCAGTTACTAAATGCTAATTGCTTAGTGCAAATATTAAATACTAAAAAGAGATCAACTTTCAGAAGTTTAACATACACTGGATTTATATCATATTTATTGGCAAAGGGAGTTAAGATTTGGAAAAAAGGGCGAACTTCTAACGTCTACACTGAAATCCTGATGCCTCAGGAAAATCTCATGTCTACATTTATTTTTTTTCAAATACAGACACTAAGAAATTAAGAACTTTATTCTGCTGTTCGATCCTTTAACAGGTCTTCAGAGGATTTTTTCCTTTTCCTTTCTTGTTTCTTGTAGTTACAAGTTCTGATTTACGTTTCAGTCATATTGTATGTTGCTGCATTCAGAGCATATGAACATCAGCTTCCATTCCACATGTACTGGAAATCATGAATTATTTTGCACACTGCTAAACATGTAAGCCAAGATGTTTGAAAGTGGTCTGTTTGTTGGGTTTGTTTTAGTCTTAAACCACATCAAATCATTCTGAATGCATTTCAGTCCTTAGAAATCTATTATTTCGCCCGACAGGTTACTGGAGGACGTACTACATCATAACCATCAACTTAGGTACTTTGACAGAGGCTCATAGGTTGCTGTATGGCTTTTTGATACCCAAATTTCCATAATGTCCTTAAGCTGTGCCATTTCTTCAAGAATGCTGTCTTCCAGATGGAGAAACACACTTAAAAGTCAATTCCCATCTATTTCTTCTTCTGCAAAGCTTCATTTCTGAACCCTGCGTCTTCTAGTGCCCATTTCTTTCTTCACAGCACTACAGCAAATATGTATATGGTACTTTAATGAGGAACCAAGGAGGAACATTTGCAAAAAGAAATGCACTCTCAGATGTGGCTGTATTGCCTTCAGACTGTGAAGAATCTACTAAATATTTAGCCTTTATTTGCTTAAATTGCAGCTGATTTGATCTTCAGAAGATGTAGAAAGAGACACTTCCTCAGTTCTGGGACGTTTTGATGCTGGAGGATTTTGAAGACTGTCATCAGATGGTAACAGTCTCTCTGAAAGAGGCAGACAGGAAAATCATTTAAGCTAAGTAAATCCAGATTGAGTAAGTAAATTTTTTGCTGAATTAATAAACAATTTAGCACTCGCCAAATAAACCAAGCCCTGGTTGAAGAGTTCAGTATCTGAAACACCAATGTGCTGAAAGTACAAGGGTCTTTAACACCCACCTGCAGGACCTGGAGAATGTTACATCCAAATGAATTTATTCTTGGTTTCAGTGTCAGGTAATGCAGCTGTTACTATAAAAACTGCAGTGACATATTGTCACATAAGCAGATGCCCAAGAGCAACTGCAGTGAGTAAACATTTCATATTGACAAAAAAACCCACCCTTCCAACAGACCAAGACAATGAAGAAGCTTTAGAAGCTCCAACTAGGTTTAGATTTGTGTTTTACTGTGCTTGTGTTACAAGCTTATAGCTTATAACAGAAGTCTATAATGGAAAAAAATGACTGGCAAAGGCCTTTGCTGGATACTAATAGCCACAAAAGCTTACCATGTTCCTGTTCTGAGGAAGGAGATACGGGAACTGTATCTGTACACGCCGGAGCTGGCGCATCTGGCTTCAGTGGAATCAAGTTTATTCTCCTTTAAAAGAGCGGAAACAGTTTAATTACTTTCAAGCCACCATTTCCACAATTACTTTATTTAAATCTTTACTTCAGATAGAATCAGTTATATCTAGACTACATATAAATATATTTTACTATGCGTTTTTTCTTCTTGTTATGTGTTGAACAGAGCATTTTTTTAGAAGTACTTTGAATACCACTCGTGATCTTTTCCACCATAACGTACTTTTGCATATGTTGCATGTGGCACAATGCTTGATATTCAGTATCAGAGCATAGTATCTTGGTCAAACATTTTAAAATTAAGACTGGCTGCGCTTACCGTCCCCCAGCCATCTCCATCTTAACACTTTAGATTCATAGAACTCTGAGGAATTCTTTTACAGTAATTTAGTAGACCTCAGTGGGTGAATCTATTGTCTTCTGCTAAATCTTCTCTGGACGGTACTTAAAAATTAAGCCCAAAAGCAGCAGAGGATTGAACCATTAAAAAACAAAACAGTGTTACAAGTAGCATCATGTGTGCCACTACAAGACGACACCCAAGGTATAATCAGTTGATATGATTAAATGTAGTTTCTCTCTCAAAGAGTAATTAGCTCTGTCTGTCACCCCACACTCCAGGCAAAAGTCACTTGCAGCTACCTACAACTCCTGGACTTGTTAGTCCCAGCACAGATGAAAAGCCATCCCTCCAAGATTTTTCTTTGTGGTTGTTGCCGAAATCCACTATCCTGCTTTCTCGTTCACCACTTCCACCCTAGCCACATACTAATTAAAACATTCTGTGAGAAGCTCCAATAATTTCCTCTAATACTAAAGTGGCCTCGTTGTGCTGACAAGGTCCAGATCTGTAACTGCACAGCTGTTTCCTCACTCCTGCACAGCAGCTCAGGGTCTTATACTGCAGTCTTGTTTGACGATCAATACATGGATCACAGGCAACTTTTATAAACCCACATCTTCACCTTAGAAAATAACCTCAACCAATGCATTAAGCCCCACACCCATCACTGTGCATACTAAGGGCCTCTCTAGACTTGCACTCTTCTTCAAAGACCCTTCTGACAAGAAACGTTTTAATAGTTCTTGTCAGCTGAAGGCTTCAGGTACCATCTTTGTACAGAAAATAAGACCTGAAGACAGACACCCACTGCTGCCATACCAACAAGACGTAACAGTCAGGTTAACTTTGCTACTGCCTCACATTTCAGACAGAAATACAGGAACTTTATGTTTAGTATTCAGGAGACATTTTGCACTTTCAGTTGCAGTACAACAACAGGAACAAAATGTTCCAAGGCAAGACAGCTACCACTAAGACAGAGAGCTGGGAATTTATGTTTGAACCTCAACATTCAAATGTAGCACAAGCAACAGCTTGTTTTGGCCTTTGTGTTTATGACTGGAAACAGCAATATAAATCTCACCTTGGTGTCTTGCTCCATGCTTGTAAAGTGTTTAGAGTAATCCTCCTGGGCTGGCTTACTTTAGTGCTCTGGCTCGTCGGCTGGCTGATTCTTCTCTCATCCGAGGATGAGACTGGAGTGTTTTTTATGCCAAGAGGTGTGGAAGACAAGTCCTTACCAGCAGCTGTGGGTGTTCTAGGTTGAAGGGTGGGAGTGCTGGGGTCGGTGACTCTGCTGGAAGGAGTCCCCTCTGTCAGCCTAGAGCCTGGGGAAATGGCTTTGTGCAACTGGCTCCTTTTCACTTTCTTCTCTGTTGCACCAGAAGTCCTGACATTTATCTGTGGCTTCTCCTTCAGTGGTATTCCCAGTTCATCCTTCTCAAAGGTAACAAATGAACAGTATCCATCCGTGGAAGAAATAGCAAGAAAGGCTCCATCGCTGGACCTATTTGTGATTTGGTTTTTTTTCCCATTAAGAGTAAAGGTCGTAACTTTTCTTCAACCCTCATATACCACCCCCAGCTGTAACACATGCTGGAGCTGTCTCGTTCTCCTCCCTTCCCCAAGTACATGTACACACATCAACAAACCCGAAGTTAGTTCCAATTCAAAAGAACAAAAGATCTTCAATTCTGGCCTTTGCACCTGATTTAATCTCTGTGATAAGCTGTAGCATGCTGCTGCCAGCACCTGCCTGCATTTGAGCTGGCACAAAGTATGGTTCTATTGCACTGACACAGATCTTCGGCCACCATTTCTGAAATATTGCTGAACTCTCCTCATTCAAATCAGAAGAGCAGCTCAAGCTCTTTGGCTGTGCTCCTTGTGCAAAGCAGAGGCAATGCTCAGAACCATCATGGTGCTCGTGAGCATGGGCTCTTTGTGCTCATTTCACCAAATCGTATCTATCTATCTATCTATCGCTGATTAAAATCACTTGATTTTCTATTCTATTCCACCACCACGCCCCGACACACAATGGTTCTCAGTGTCTGAACATCAGTTATAACTTCTGAAAAAGAAGCCTCCATGTGGTCCTTTAATTATATGGCCATGAGAGAAGCCTTGTCCATCAGAGGGGTCTAACCTGCCTGCAAGACTTGGGTTCAGTTTTCAGCTGCAGTTCTGACTCCTCACATCAAGTAAGATAAATTACCTTGTCCCGCACATGAAGAATCACTGAGCAGAATTGTGCACATAAAGCAAAATTTGGCCGGGATACAGACACCTGATGAACTCAAAGATTGCTTCCAGGACCACCAAATAACTTCATTATTACCAGTTACACTGCCTGAACAACAAGTACTTTTCATGGGCACCTCGTAGGTTACCTTCCATGAAAATTTCCATATCTGCTTGTCCCTAGGGTTCTTGCACCTTGTTTCTCAAGAAATAACAAGCCATAAAAAAATGTGGCTTGCTGTTCAGACACTGTGATGACAGTGGCCACGTGTATCAAACAAAATATAAAGAGACAGGATGTTGTGCAGAACTTCAACATGTAAAAAGGACATTTCCCCCTTCTTAACAAATCTTAAGAATATAAAAATTACCTACCACGAAATGTCACTCAGGGTGTGATAATGTATATTAGCAACATAACCAAAGGGGAAGGACTGCTCAGTATCATAAAAAAGCACAGAATCTTCTGAAGCAACAGCAAACACCAATCGATAGGGCAGGTTAAACAAAGCAGGAGACAGTTTCTGACTGATTTCATCTAGAATGCAAAGGAATGAACATGTTGAAAGCTTTCTCTTGCATTCATTGCACGGTAGGCACTGCAATAGCTTAGTCATGAATTTAAATAAAGATTTCATTAGTAATCAATATCAAGAAAATGGCTGAGAAGACAGCACTTGTATAAGATATTAGTGTTTGGCATTAAACTTTACATTTCTGTTGCCTGAAATTTGCCCTCTATTGTCTTAGCTGAAGACAGAGAAATTGGCAGAAGCTTTGTCTATCTGGATTGCCATTATTTTGTTTTGCAAAGTTTTTTGTGTATTTACCATCTGAAATTTTTCAGGAGCTGCAGAGACCAACATCAGACACTTGTCTCCTTACTTTTCAACACACCAGTACAATGGATTTAAAGTTATGATGAAAATACAGAACACAATAACAGGCAATCTCTAAATTCTGTAAGGAATGCTACAAACTGACCCTCTAAAGAAAGCAGCAAAGTTCTGCCTCTTCACGAGAGTAAGATTCATCTTGTTAAAATATCAACACTCCTAGACCCAACTAGGCTCACAATAAAGCTGGATTTCCATCTCCAGGTAAATTCTCATGTAACTTCATATCAGCCTTTCCCTACCTCACAGCTCCTGTTCAGGCCAGTAACACCAGCACTGCTTCAAGTTTGGCTTACTTGAATAGACATCAATGGTTGTTGCAAACTACACCAACCCTCTGATGCTTCTGTGATGTGGGTAGTTGAGATTAACAGAAAATATTTCACTGGGTCACTCCTTTAGTGCTAAGCCAAGTTATTTACTTTTACTCACAGAAAATGGTTCAAAGTTAAAGCAAAATATCAAACAGTGTTTCTGTAGCCTAAGAGGCCAAGTAAGAACATTTATGCACTGTATCAAAGCTACTCACAAGGTACTTAAGGTGAATTCAGCATCTTAGAACCAGGAAACGGCTTCTAAGATGTGGTACCACATGGTCTTACCAGAATGTTAACAGACTAGGGTATAAAAGGGTGAACAGTCACATTGGCCTTTTCCCATATATGCTGTAAAATCATACTCCCCAGAGGATTTACATTACCTTTATTAAATGCTTGCCTCATCTCAAAGTAGACTGGGCAGCAGCGAACAGCAAGAGTTGCCTTTCCAGGACATGGCAGGTGACCCACGGGCCTTTTATAAAGAATCAGTATTTCAGAAAACAGCATTTTTTCTTTTTTTTTTTTTTTAATAAAAAGATATTTTGATCTTATTAAATTCTACCTTTTAAGATTGTTTCTGGAGAAAACATACGTGGTGTTTGTTACATTTTCTCCAGATTCAACACAGCCAGCTGCAAAAATAAAGGTTAAAACTTTACTCATCAATTTAAAAAGGTACTGAGCCCACACTTTATGTTCATAAACATTCTACTTCTCAGGAATTAGGCCTGTCAGTTAGGAAATCGATATGCAACCTGAACACAACTTAAAAAGGCATTCCAAATATTTATTTAGTGCTGATTTTGTTTCCCTTATATTTTCCCCCTCAAAGCTTCTTTTTGATGTTGTCAGGCATCTATGAAAGCAGTGCTTATATGGGCAAACTGATCCCCTCCTTGCAGTGTTATTTTTACTATGGTTGTTGAATGTTCTTAAGAAAGGATACAAAAAAAACAGAGACCAGGCAAAACAAACCACTCATTGTTCTTCATTTCTATTTTAACAGAGCTACATTGTTACAATTTTCATGTTTCAGTTGAGAAAAATACCATAAATACAATTTTTCCACACCAGAAAGCTGATGTTGTACACTGCTAATGGAAGAGTACTGACAAATCTATTTTCTTCAATAGGAAAAATAAAGAATGGCATAATTAAGATAAATAAGCATCCTATGGCAGTGTGAAAGCAATCTTGATGTACGTTCAAAACTACAGTGTAACAGAAACAATGTAAGTTGCAGTACATGCTCTTACATACCTGGAGTGAGTAAATAGGAGCCATCAGTGGTAAAGCTGAGCCTACGGAAAAACGACTTCATGCTGTCATCGTGAAACATCCGATAGCTCCTAGCCTGTAACATTGAACACAGGGCTCTGTAAAGTGCCACGGGTGTGGCACAGCTGGAATTCACATGAGAAAAACCACCTAGCTTCACAATCCAACCTGATGGAACTTAAAAGATGTTTTAAAAATCATAGCTCCTTCAAACTTGCTGTCTGCTGTGCTATAAATACTTCACAGCTAAGAAACATAGTCCTTGATCCCTCTTCAGCAACTAATCAAAACTCTCCAAGAGCAGTCACATCAGTAATCAAAAAAACAGTAGTAATCTGGAGAACAACATTATTTAACAGTCAACATTAGAAGACTGTTCTTTAGGCATTTCATTTTAACTTTAATATTAGAGGCTGAAAGAGAACTTCTATCATGCCAAAACACCTTATCTCAGGCCTGTTTTTTAGTCTCTATAAAACTTTGTTACAAACGTTTTCACAAAAGAAAAAAGAAAATAAATAGAAGGAATTAAAAAGGTTATTGCCAGCTTGGAGGTGTTATTTTACTATCACCTTATAGTTAAAGAAAAAATTCCTCAATTCATATCCTTCCTAAAAACCAGACCACCTTCTGAAAATTTCAGCCTGCTGACTTCAAAATATTATTGCTGTCACATTCATTAATAAATTTACACCTACTGACATGCGCACTTGATGTTTTTCCTATTAAGAATTCACTATGCATGCTATTTTATCCACATTATTTTTAACATTTACAGCCAAAGATAACGTGTTACCACTTCAATCAGCTGGACTTGCAAGAGATCAATAGCAGCAGGCAGTGCTGTTAGGAATTCCTGTAACATTCAAGGAAACCTGAAGCTGTCTTTATTTAAAAAATGCAAAGGTGAGATAGAGACAACTGATACACAGATCACTAGCATAGAAAATATTTGCCCCTTTGGTTTCACAGAACAGAACAAGTCATACAGAACAGCACCCACCACATTCTCCAGTACCACTAGTAGCAGAAGGACGTACCTCTCCTTCAGCTCCTGATCCAGATAGCATCTTGGTGACATTGAATGCCACACGCTTGGTTTGTGTGTTGTACACCCGCAGGACCCTACATAGTGGGGAGCACAGTTAGCTGTGAACAGCTCCTTCTCACCCCAAGTTTCACACAATGCTACAGGACCCCACTTCTGAGTCAGGACCACTAAATATAGGACAATCACACATGAGTTATCACTGTTCATGAAATGCCACCAGGCGAACACGTTTTGATGGCTAAATAGCCAAACAATCACTGACAATGTTTTGACTCCATAAGATTTGTGAAGTAGCAGCAGAGGCATCTGTGGAGGGATGAGGGATTTAGTGGACAGTGAACTGTTCCCACCTGTGCTGTAGTAGCCAGTATGTGCCTCCTAAGTGGGATCTTGCCTCAAAGACAACAAGCTACATCTCTGTGCTTCAGTTTAATTTGGAATAATGTTGGAAACCCCCTGACTTCATCTCACTAAAACAGCAGGTAGCCTAAGGAAAGCCAACTGCTTGTTCCACTACCCCCCTCTTTTCTGCTAGCTCTAACCTTCCCTATGTTTGTTTGTCAGGCTGGCAGAAAACCAAGCTAACAGAAAAACTAGACAGCTTTCTGCTGATCTCATGTGCTGAAACAGCTCCACAAAGAGCCCTGGACAGAGCTAGGGTGAGAAAAGAGAAAGTAATGCTGTGGCAGAGAGCTTCAGACAGTTGTGGAACTACTGCCTCTGGATGCCATATAGCTCAGACATTCTGCTAAAAGGGGGAAGAGGTCTCCCCACCCAGGACTGGTGAGTGCCCAGTCCTGGCAACTGGTCTGGCTCCTGTTAGACCCCCACTGAGCCAATGCTATTCACTAACCCTGCAAAAAATCATTTGAATCCTGAAAGGGTAAGAGATTTCCCTTCTCCAAATTAGTATATGCTCTCAGTTGTGACTGCACTCCAAGGAAAAAACTGTGCATGCTTTGAATACTTGTGTTTCACTGCTGTCATTTTAATAAAAGCACACAAATCTCACATAGCCAATTATGAGAAGACAGAGGCTCACAATGACCCAGCTGCCACAAACTTACCATCTTTCTGAACCTATTGCAAATTTTAAATCAAAACTACTTTTCCCACTATTACAGCAAGTTTCTTTGCCGTGGGTGCCAGATGACATGCATGTATTAGCCAGCTGTGAACCCCTTCAGAGCAGCACACATGGTCTAAACAATTTAAGCTCATTCAAAGTTCTGACAAGGGCCAAGTTTATGAAGCATGTGTTGGGCTTTCCCAATGACATCACTTAAACTGCTGGAGATGGAGGGAGCAAGAGGGCAAAAGAAGGATATCAGTGGAAAAACATTTTAACTGATTTCCTAACCTGTTTATATCTTTCTGTAAAAAGACAAGATTGAAAATATTAGCTCATTAACAATTAGAAACTGCAGCACACTCTTAGGATATATTGGGTATCTCCAATGACCAGTTTTATGTAAGTTTATTTGCTTCTTAGAGAGGAGACACAGGTTTCAGGAATCATTTACCAGAAGCAAAAGATAACTGCATTATCATCTTACTTTCACATCAACCATCTTACAAAACAATCCCAGTAAAACTAAAAGTCACACTTATCCCATACACTTGCTTTTAATGCATCCTCAGGTAAGAGAACACTAAGGCAAAACACTTAGACCAAGAGCTCACCTATCACAACTCAGAGTTGCAAGGTACTGGCCTAGAGGATCCCACGTTATTCCTTGGACATAACTCTTGTGTTCATTTAGTATTGAAACCTTCTGCCCTGAAATTGAAAAAGTTTTCAGAGTCTAAACTCAAATGTGGTTTAAAACTTTTCTTCATTTCAGAAATAAAGACAAAATGTTTCAAAATGTACAGAAGTAATTTTTTAAACATACAAATTGCTAAGTTGATGGCACCTGATAAGAGTATCAGAAATAGTTGCTTTATTTCTAGAATCTTCACAAGTACAGTAAATTGTGATTTGCAGATTTAAGGCTTGTTCCCTAAAAACTAACTCAGATAAGCAGCTTGGATTAGACATTAAACGTGCAAGATGAGTTTATTTCAAAACAGAAGTATGTAAAAGCCTTTGTGATTTAGAAAACATTTTACAGGCAAATCCAGAATACTGTTCAACAGCTAACTGAATTTGGCTTAACTGACCAGAAATTCCAGCATTAAAACAACTCTTCTGAGTGGACAAGGAAAAAAATATGCTACACAAATGCTGACTGATGCACACACCGGGGCAGCTTCCAAAAACAATTCTACAGTAGTGCTAAATCTCGTTCCTCTGTGGCTTATTCTGCCATAAAGATCTCTCAAAGGCATAAACTCTCTGACCCCACTGATGTTCCACAGTTGAATGTCTCAGATTCAAAGCATCATGATGAGGTACAGTTAGAGATAATTCTCATTAAATACTTCATTTTGAATACTAGTGTCAGGTGGAGTTTTTCCTATTAGTTAAGTGTGGCTTTGTTGCAAAGAAATACTATAAGCTGACAAGTTGCAAAGACAGTAGCTCGTGAAAAAGATTAGACAAATAGAATTGAGGCCCTGCTGCATAACACCAAAAGTTCTTCCGATGCAGTGTTCTGTCTCTGACAGCAGTCAACCCCACATGCTTAAGGAAGAATGTAAGAACAGAGCAAAGACATAATGATATTTCTACAGGGCACTCTGCAAGCTGCCAACAGTTTGTACCTCAAGGGCTTGTGCCAGTGATGCTCTTTTTGTACAGAACGGCCCTAGGGATTTTTACAATTAATTCTCTTCCAGACATTTTTTTTAAACCATGCAAGCTTTTAGCCTGGGTATTACTGGAAGTTACCCTTGAAATTCTTTCCTTTCATGTACCTACAATTTCAGCCACAGAGCTTACATTTTCCAGTAATGACTTCTTACTGCCAACTTAGTAGTTTTTCCTCTGCCTAAAAACACATAAAATGCCCTCTATGGCATTAATGGCATGCTAAAGAGCAAGGGAGAATTGGAAGACATGACACATAAGTAACGTATCAGCTTAAGAGGACATCTACCTTGTTTTAGTAATACTTCTAATAGATGCATCCCTTTAAAATCATTACAAGCAGTCCAAGATGCAACATTCAGTCACCTTACCCCTATACATACTTATGCTCTAAGCACACACACTCTTAACTGAATATTCCTGTATTTATGGTGAAGACTTTTGGAAAGGAGTGTATGTGACAGCGCAGACAGGGGAGACATTAAGCACCTAAGCCAAGAACACAAAAAATGTCAGCAGCAGAACATTCATACTGTCATGTGTTCACGCACTGAAGGTTTAACTTGGATTCCAATTTATTTTTTTAATTAGACTCTAAACATCAGATATGTGAGACAATAGGTTTAGAGAAGGCTAAGTATTTCCACATTAGTTTAAAAGTGAAAGTAATGATTACTAATAAGAAAACATTAAGCCATTGTAAAGCAACCTAACCCAGCTGGTTAGGTAAGTAGAAATTCTACAGACTGGCCTTTCTTGGAGAACACAAGCAATCCCACTGCAGGGGGATGAGAGTGAACAGAAATGTTTTACCTGATAGAGCCTAAAATAACCTGTCATGCCCTGCAAAACAGTCTGCAACCCATTTTTACAGAAGTAGTTACCTGATACCAGTCAAGATTTGTTTGTTGGGGTGTGGGGTGGAGTAATATACCAGCTTGCTTGTGTAGGAGTCTGGGGGTAAAAAAACTGGAGTATTCAGGAAATAAACTTCACCCAAGGTGAAGAGATTATGTATGTGTAGGTTTTGCTGGCCTGGGGGTATCTTTATATGCTGGGCTATCTGCCTCTCAATCCCAGAAGTCACAAAAAAAGATGCTTTCAACTCTTTTGGTAAATACCATGAGGCAGTTCCACCAGAAGTGGAGATGCAAGTGATGAACATCACATTTACCTTTACCGACATCCCACATTATAGCTGTGTTATCTACAGAAGCAGATGCCATGTAGTTTCCATCTGAGGTCCAACATATATCATATACATCTTCTAAGTGACCTCTAGAAGCCAGAAGAGAAGAAAGCAGTTATTAATTTAAAAATTAATAGCTACATGTAAACATGAATTTTACACATTTTTAGGTTAAAAAAAAAAATCAGATGCAAACAAAGCTTTTGCTGAAGTAAAATGAACAGTAATACTTTCAATGTTTTAAAAAAGAAGTCTGTGTTCAGAATGTGGTAGAACATTTTAAAAAACTACATCCTACTTTTATTCAAAACAAGTCTGACTTTTCAACAGGTCTTTTTCACAGGCAATGAAAACTTCACATTTGAAGTAATTTATGAATTTGTATCTAAAGATCAGGAAATGAACATTTCTAGGATTTGTACAAAGAGAAAACAAAACAAAAGTAATTAGGAAGTGATAGTATTCAATGAAACTTTCCTGTGTATTTATGGGTTTCATAAAAGCAGAACTCATAAATGCATACTCAGCAGAACCACACGAACCAGACAATTAAGGTTGATTCAGATACAGTTGAACAAACATTGCAAGATATTCAGAGCCACCTAGAAGGGCTCCACCAAAAATAATTTTTATTGCTTGTTGTTTGAAGACTTACCATACAGTGTGGTAACTTTGATAATAAATTATTTGCAACACCAAGTTTAGGGAAGGGGGTCTGGGTTGGTTTGTTTGCTTTAAGAGATTAACTCTGCTGTTCCTAAAGATCTTGCTGGTGCTTCGAGCAATCCCACTATCACTTTTGCATAAGACTCATCTGTTTCAAGAAATATATCAAGTATGGGCAGCAAAGTTACTTATTTTTTGTAAAGTGTAAATTCTTTACAAAGTTAAACACAACAAAAGGATGGATACTATAGCCAACGAATTTTGGAGAGCACTGAAGTTCTACATACACTGAATTGAAGACTGTACCAGGTAGTAGAAGACACAAGGGAATCAAAAACACAGAACTTAAAACAAACATAAAATCTTAACCTACCTTAAAGTTTTAATGACTGTCCAATTCTCCTTGTTGAGCTGAGCTTCATCTTCCTCCTGAAAAACTAGTGGTTCCAATTCTTTGCTATCATTCAGCTTCCACAATAAAATAACAGCATCTGCAGAAGCAATCACACAAAGCTTCTTTCTTTCCCACTCGCCGTTTTGTTAAGGCATTACATTTAGTTCAACATTCCAATTGTCTTGTGTAAGACACATGAAAACCAGTTCTCACCATCTCCTCCAGATGCCAGGATCTCCCCACCTGGGGAGAAGCGCACAACGTTCACGGCTTTGGTGTGGCGGGTGAGGTTGGACAAGAACTCCACAATTGCTTTTCCATCTGGCCCCTTTTCCACTTTCCATATCTGGTTACAAAAGCATTATAGACAGTTTTCAGGAACAAGACGTAGCATATATGCACCACTTCAGTAATCCACTAATTCCTCCTTGGGCAGTCGTGCTGAACTTAGCTGAAACTCCAAAGAGCTAAAGCTGCAGTTGCACCACAGTTTTTGCCTCTATAAGCTACAACTGCTTACTGGCTTATGTGGCAAGATTTTGGTTGCTGGGGAAGGCTTCAGGTTTGGCTTCTGTGAGAAGACACCGAAAGCTGACCCCACCTTGGACACAGCCAGTTCCAACCAGCTCCAAGACAGTCCTGCCACTGGTCACAGCTCAGTCCATCAGTGACACTGGTGGCACCTCTGTGAGAATATACTTAAGAAAGGGTAAAAGCACTGCACAGCAACTGTGAGAGAACAGTAAGAAAAATGTGAGAGAAATAGCCCTGCAGACACCAAGGTCTGTGAAGAGGGAGGGGAGGAGATGCTCCAGGTGCTGGAGCACAGATTTCTGTGCAGCCCTTGGAGATCATAGTGACACAGGTTGTTCCCCTGCAGCCCATGGAAATCCATGGTGGAGCAGCTATCCACACAGCAACCTGTGGAGGACCCCACACCAGAGCAGGTGGATATGCCTTGAAGGAAGATGCAGCCTGTGGATAGCCCATGCTGGAACAGGCTCCTGGAAGCAGCTGTGGCCTGTGAGGAAGAGACCATGAAGGAACAGGTTTGCTTGCATAATTTGTCACCTCATGGGGGACCCATGCTGGAGTAGTCCATTCCTGAATGTCTGTACCCCATGGAAAGGATCCATGCTGGAACAGTTTCTGAATAACTGCAGCCTGTGGGAAGGACCCACATTAGAGATGTTCATGAAGGACTCTCTCCAGTGGGAGGGATCCAACACTGGAGCAGGGGAGGAGTGTGAGGAGGAAGGAGGGGCAGAGAGAGCATGCAGGGATCTGACTGTGGTCCCCATGTCCCATCCCCTGCGTGGCTTGCTGGGAGGAGGTGGAAAAGTCACGAGTGAAGCTGAGCCTGGAAGGGAGGGGGGATGGGGGGAAGGTGCGTTTGGTTTTGTTCTTATTTCTCACTACCCTACTCTGTTATTAATTGGCAATAAATTCAATTAATTTCCCCAAGTTGAGTCCATTTTGCCCATGACAGTAATTAGTAAGAGATCTCCCTCATCCTTATCTTTACCCATGAGCTTTTCCAATCATATTTTCTCCCTACCCCGTAGAGGAGGGGAGTGATAGAGCAGCTTGTTGGGCACCTGGTACCCAGCCAAAGTCAATCCAGCACAGGCTATAATTATATTGCACTATTTTTTTTTTGGTCTGATGAAATACATTATTTCCAATACATTTTAAAACCCTCAAACACATAACACCATTCTCTCTTCATTGACAACCTCTGGCTTCAAAGGTACTCAAAAAGCCTATAAATACGAAGATTCAATAGTATGGAATTACAATATCTTGTTAACTTATCTGTCTACCATGAATTAAGTCTGAAAAAAACCCTGATCACTACAGGCGAAAAAAAACTTATTAGCTCTCTTCAGAAGTCTGAGCAAGTTGAGTTTTGCAGTATAGCCTAAAGAGCAATAGATTTACTGATTTCAAATAGATGACTTGAGCAAGAATTATCATATTTCCACTTCCCCACTGACCATAACCACAGCCTGAAGCCAGTTGCATGATATGGACACTTTCTCAGTGATCCTGGCTTAAGAAATTCCTGATCCCACTTGTTCTTGATTTTGCAGCACATAATGATGTCACTCCTACTGCTCTTCCTGTGCACTAGTTCATTCATGAGAGCAACACTGTTACGTGCCTATATTGTGGGACTAAGGTCAGAGTTAGCTAAATCCCATTAAGTATTTATTCATAATAATCTGCTCTTGGATGCAACTCAGGCCAGAAAAACTAAACAAAATGAACCCAGCCAACCAGGCCTTGATAGGAACATACCAAACAGTGAAGCAGCCTGAATTAAGACCTCTGTAAGTTCTCCCATTTTCCCCTCTTTGTGCAATAGTCCTCTGAAGGGGGACACAGCAGCAGTACCTTCTATGTCAAAGAACACTGAAATTGTTCTGGGCCTAAAATATGTATGTTTATAAATATGACATATATATTCAGTAACCTGTATATACCGCCAGAATCCCTGAAATGCATCCACCATTAGGTAAGAACTCAATTTGCCAGCAATAAAGCGGAAAGTTTTGGCCAAGGCTACTGGAATAAAATTCTGATTTTTAATGATGTTTATACTATTTACCACCTCCAAAAGGAAGAGGCATTCTAAACACGTACATATCACATCAGTTACCATTCATAACAATTTGCTAATAAAATACCTTTAAAAATACTGGTATATTTCACAAAATGCTGCAGAGGATCCTACATAACATATCCAATCCAGGGTATAAATCTGATCTTTACAATTCAAATTCTCTGCTAAAACATAAAATGTTTTCTCAGAAAAAAAGGTAGGAGTAATACAAAAGAAAACCTTATTGTTTGTCTGTGCCTCTTGCACAGGTAGTAAAACCTTCTCAAAAATATTTATTTCTTCTTTAAACAGATGATGGAAGCCTAACAGAACATAAGCAAGCCCAAAAGATAATAAAAACGTAAAATCACCATGCAAAGACAGATAAATAGACAGATACATAAGCTCACAGCAGAAAACCTACATGAATGCTTTGTGCTGGAGTTCACTACTAAGCAGCACAGGGAGAGTCCCAGGTTGGAACTCTTCTTTATTACAGGATAAGTGTGAGGAACTGTCTCAAACTGAAAGGTTAGTGGTAGAGATTTTAGTAAACAAGTAAAAAAAGGTTTTTTACAGGAAATCACCAGGCCCAGATATTGAAGAGTCCTACAGGAATTCAAACATGAAATGAAGAGTCCATCAGTAATCAATAACCTAATTTGTTTTACTCTTGGCTCCAAAAGACAAGGGAGGCAAATGTGTTAGATTCTTAGAAGTGATCCAGATCGGTGATCCAGAAGAACCCTATCCACTATGCCTACCTTCCATACAGAGCTTTTACATAAAGAAATTATGTTTATTTCTCTGCAAAGGAAATTGTGCCTCACTTGCCCATTATCTTTAAATAGAGTTGTTTAATATCCAGATAAAAAGAATGTAGTTCACCTACTGCACTCAATTTCCCAAACCTTTCCAACTAGGACTAAGGCTTTTAGAAAAACTAAGAGATCACTGAATGATGGGGGTAGTCCTCACATGCATTAAAAATTTAGGAAATAATGAACAAATGCCTGATTTTACAAAGGTGAATCCTACAGCCACAACTCTTGGGGCTTGTTCTACTCAACATTTCATAAGCGATTCTCAAAAGGATAAGCAACTTTGATGAATAAAGTTTGCTAGCATCAACACAAAACTACATAGGAAAGATGCATCTGAAGATGAATGAAAAGGGCTGTAGAAAGATCTCATACTGCTGAGTGCCAGCTTATAAAATGGCAGATAGAATTCAACTTCGGTGAACATAAAAGAAATTAAAACCAGTTGTTTCCCACTAAGACACAAGACCACTCTAAATTAGCAGTTACTGCCCAGGATACCACCCAACAGTCAACAGAGGTAATTTTCTAGAGATAACAGTTTAGAAACTGCAGCAGAACTCCAGGACAGTATGCAAGAGGAACAGTCATTCTGTATATGTCTGTACAACCTCATCCTCTATCCCTAAACCATCCACCACGGGTGCCGTGTACCGGTCAATATTCTAGCAGCCTGGGCACAAGCCATTTCGTGCTCTGTGCATGCGACAAACCCAAACCAAGCAGGTCTGAGACTTACACGGATCCCCCCCCCTGCCGAGGCCAGCCGATGGATCTTCCCATCAGCTCCATGTTGGAAGTCTAAGCTGTAAACAGGCTCCTTGTTATGCCACGCTATTTCACAAGTGATGACCTTCATGTTTGCTAAAGAAAACGGAGAAAATACCAGGTAAATCCTTCTTTTTTGTTACTAAGGCAAAGCTACCGGGATTTCACGAGTGCCGCAGACACATCCCGCCAGTTTCACGGCAAGAACTGGCAGGGTGGTTTAAGGGAGGTCCTTTCTGAAGGGGCCGAGCTGTCCCGGCTGCCCTGGCCCCGCCCCTGGACGGGGCC